CGCCTCAGCCTCCTAAGCAGCTGGGACCACAGGCGTGTGCCACCACACCCAGCTAATTTTTGTATTTTTAGTAGAGATGGGGTTTCACCATATTGGCCAGGATGGTCTCGATCTCTTGACCTCGTGATCTGCACGCTTTGGCCTCCCAAAGTGCTGGGATTACAGGCGTGAGCCACCGTGCCCTGCCAGTTATTGTGTTTCTAAATTCTAAAATTTAATTTGGTTCTTTTTCATAGCTTTTATTTTTTTACTGAGACCTCTCAGCTTTTCATTCAACAGAGCTTGCCTTCTTGGATTATAATACTTACATTAAAGTCTTTGTCTAATCATTTCAACATCTAGACCCTCTTGCCATTGGCATCGGTTGTGTTTTTTACCTGAAATTGTTAAACTTTTTATTGATTCTTTATATGTGGAGTACTTTTGTATTGTATCCTGGCCATTGGAATATCATGGTATGAGACTCTGGGTGTCATATTTGTTTAAATCCTATATAGAATGCTGATTATTGTTATTATTACTTTAGCCAGGAAATTGACCCACTTAGTTTTGGGCTACAAGTTTTGATCCACTTTCTGTGGGCTGTAGTTTCATCATCAGTTTAGTTTTTAAAGGATTTCTGGTGCTAGTCAGATGTATTCTGCATAGTTACTGTCCACTGGCCAGTATGGGATCTTGGTGGTGGTCTATCTATCTTCTGGTTCAGTTCTCAGTCTTCGGTATATGTTTAGGATTATATGCATATATGGTTATTGCAGCAATAAGCCTAAGAATACATACACTACTTTATTAGATACCTTTCTTCAGCTGCCTCCTCTGAGGGTAAGTGGCAGAGAGAAAGAGAGAGAGAGAGACAGAGAGAGAGAGAGAGAGAGAGAGAGAGAGAGAGAGAGAGAGAGAGAGAGAGAGAGAGAAACATCAGCAGGTGAGCACCTAGAGCCTAGAGCTGAGGATGCTGAGAATCCCTAGCTGGTCTAGCTATTGACCATGTTTGAGCGCATGGTCAATCTGTGCTTGGTCTCCAGATTTCTCAATCAGTTGAGCCAATAACTTTTTAATTTCCTAGACTAGGTGAGATCAGGTCTAGTGAAAAAGTTCTGAGTAATGTGTAAGCCTCTCGTGAGCATGGCAGCCAAGGTGGTGCATGAGATTGTGGAATAAGGATGTGTCTAGAGAGGGAAGAAAAGAGAAGCCCATTTTAAAAGACAGGTAAGGAAGAGGAGCCTGTGGAAGAGAATGAGAGGAGTGCTTAGAGACACAGGCGAGTTATTCGTGGTGAAAACCCTAGAAAGAGAGTGAGTCAAGAAATGGAGAGTAATTAACAGTGTAAAGTACTTGCGGGGGATCAGTCAAGATAAGAACTGAGAAGGGCCCTTGGGATCTGTCAACATGAGGCTGTTGACAAAACAGTTGTAGTCACCACACTAGAAGAGTCTTTTGAAATCATACTCTACACCCTCTTCTGCAGATGAGGAAAGTGAGGCAATGAGCTACTTAGTTTTTGGTTTTGTTTTTTTGAGTGGCAGATGCAGAATTACAGTAAGTAGAGGTCAAGGCTCTAAGGATATTTAAAGGTCATCTGCTCTGATTCCTTATCTAGTACTTGAATCTCCAGTACAACAGGTCTCTGAAACCCAAGCTTAAGTGCATCTGCTGGGAGAGAACTCAGCTCCCAGCTCAAATGAGAGTCTGATTCTTTACACCTAGTTCTCTTATACCACAGGGCAGACACATGCCGGGAGATTGTCTGCATCCTGAGCTGATCCCAGAGGGAGCTGACTGGATTTGGAAACTCAGAAGATTAGGTCAGGTTTTGAGTTTTAAGAAGGCTCTTGGCCAAAATGAAACCCTCTCCTCATAATTCTGGCCACTCCCTAAATAAAGACAAATCCTCGGGGGAATTCCAGGACCAGGAAATTCCAGGACCGGCTTAACATTTCCTCATGGGTGCTCATAGGCAACTCCAGCCCAGTACCTCAAAACGTGAACTCATCACCTTCCCCTGCCAAAACCCATTTTTATTCTTGAGACTCTGACTCCTCTTCCATCCAGGTGCTCAAGACAGAACTCTGGAGGTCTCCTTGACTCCTCTCCCCTCCATTCCCCAATTTTAAAACGAATCATTATTATTCTTCCCAGGCATCCCTGGAACTTGTCAGTTTCTTCTTACCCCACCATGCCTCTCAAGAACAGGCCACCATTACCTCCCCTGTGGACAATGATCAGCCTTCCAACTGGTTTCCTGCTTCCAGTGTCTTCTTGTATAACCTGTTCTCCACATTGAAGCCTATCATCCCCAAGCTCAAAACCCTTCAGTGCCTTCCCATTGTTCTCAGGATGAAATACAAGCTCCCTAACGTGGCCAAGAGTTTGTCCTTAACTCTGGGGCTTCTGCCGGCTCTGTAGTCTCATTTCATGCCTCTCTCACTCCCTTTCTGCATTTTCTTGACAAGGCCATGCTGTTTTTCTCCTTCACTGCTTTTCACTATTCCCATTCTTGAAGCTCCTTTTTTGTCACCTTCACTAATACTGCCTATAGATTCTTAAGATCTTTGTTTGGGTATCAGCTTCTCAGTAAGGCTTTCCTTAACTACGCTCCATCACAGTTAGAATCGTTGCCATCTCTATCCTCTCACAGGTCTTTGGGATGCTTCTATTACATAACTTTTACTACTCTCTAGTTATCTGCTTTGACTCTTTCTCTCCAGTTGACTCTAAGGCCCCGGAGAACAGGGAATACGTCTGCCCTCGTTCCACAGTATTTTTACTGCCTGGCGCATCCCTAGCACAGAGAGTGTGGTAAGTGTGTACAGTTCTATAATTTCATTATTTATTCAATGCTTATGGTGTTGTTGGCACCACTTGCATGAAAAAGAAGCTGGGCTCAGATGAATTAGTACACCATAATTCTTACTGCACCTTACAGAATTCAGATAGACATCCTCTAAATTCCCTGCCTCCCAAGAAGCCGGGAGTGTAACAGCTAAGATGGGAGCTGTTGTGGCCTCTCCAGAAGACCAACCCTCAAAAGTGTACCCCAGGAAGTCTCATTTCAATATCAGAAACTTCTCCCTGGAATATCAGTAAGCCCTATGATGACATCAAAGCCAACCAGTTCTCTGATTAATGTGAGCTAATTACTATTAGTAGATGTAATTCTAGCCCAAATATAAAGCCTTGGTGGCCTAATCATCCATTCACTCTTTATTCAGCAAATATTTAATGAGCACCTACTCTGTGACATTCTCTGCACCAGGTGCTGAGAACACAAGACAGACAGGGGTTCCCTGTCTGTAAAAAAATAAAATAAAAATTAGCTAGGCATGATGGTGGTCAGGTTGAGCACGGGGCAAGGGACGGCTGTTAATTAATGACACAGCAATTGTGATTAGTGCTATGATGTAAAAGTATTGGGTTCTCTAACAGCATATAAAGGGGGGCCTGACATAGGTCTGGAGAATTGGAAAGGATTTCCCTGAACAGTGGCTTAGGTATACATGATTTTGCCAGGAAATGAAATGAGCCAGGAGTGTTCCAGGCAGAGGGAGCAGCAGAGGAAACGGACTTGGCAGATGGGAAGGAGCATGATGCCTTTTAGTTGCTGAAGGAAGGTAAATGGCAAAGCATTTGAGAGACGAGATGGGCAGAAAGAGGCTAGGGAAGCAAGCAGGCCCAGACCATGCCAGGCCTTGTAGGCTATGATAAGAATTTACAGATTTTTTTCTAAGAATGATGAAAAGCTCTCACCAAGAACTGTTTGATCCTCTAAGGAAACAGGAGCAGCTGTTGTCAAGTACTTGGCATGTATTTAATTATTATAATATCCATGCATGGGAGGTGGGGTAGTTTTCAAACTTGGCTGTAAATTGATACTCCTCCCACTTAGAGATAGGGTCTATGCCAGGTGCAGTGCCCCACACCTGTAATCCCAACACTTTGGGAGGCCAAGGTGGGCGGATCACCTGAGGTAAGGAGTTCGAGACCAGCCTGACCAACATGGAGAAACCCCGTCTCTACTAAAAAAATAAAAATAAAAATTAGCTAGGCATGGTGGCGCAAACCTGTAATCACAGCTACTCAGGAGGCTGAGGCAGGAGAATCACTTGAACTTAGGAGGTGGAGAGTGCAGTGAGCCAAGATCACACCATTGCACTCCAGCCTGGGCAACAAGAGTGAAACTCTGTCTCAAAAAAAAAAAAAAATAATAATAATAAAAGATAGGATCTATGTCCCTTTCCTTTAATCTGAGTGGACTTGTGATGGTTTTGACCAACAGAGTGCAAAGAAAATGACAGTATGTGACTTGCAAAGCTAGGTCATGGAAGGTCATGCAACTTCTGCCCGTTCACTGGAACACTAGCTTTTAGAATCCTGCTGGAGAGGCCACAGGTAAGTCACTGTTCCAGCAGAAGCCAGCCTTTGAGGCAACCCTGCCTGGGACTATGTGAAAAAACCTCAGGTTATTCCTACCGTCAGCCATGTGAGTTTTCCTATCTGAGACTCCAGACATCATGTAGCAGAAACAAGCCATACCTGTTACGTCCTGTCTGAATTTCTGGTCCCCCCCGGGACTCTGTGAGCATAATTGAATGATTGCTTTATTGTTCCACAAAGGGTTAATGTGGTTTATTATGCAAGAATAGAGAGCTGAAAGAGTAGATATATTATTAGTATTCTCGCATCTTACAAATGAGGAAGCTGAGTTTCAGAAAGATTAAGCATCCTGATCCAGGTCTTGCAGGCCGTCAATGAAGAGCCACGATTGAATCAAGGTCTGGTTCATTGCAGAGCCTGCTCCCTTCTGATGATCCCAGGTGACTCCCACGCTGAGTAAAGCTCCCTGACAAAATCCTCCAAGCTCCCCCATTACTGCTCGTCAATCTGGAGAGCCACTTTGGTTAATCTAGATTGCAATGACTAGGATTTGGTTACAGAAACAGCCTTCATGATACATTTGATTTGCATTCTTTTCAAATAATTGAAAGACATTCACTCTGCAGTCACTTCGTTTCTGACTGTATTTTTCCCCTCCACACCCACAGGCAAGAGCCAGATATTTGTGCCAACCCTGACAAATCTGCTTCTCTCTCCACATTGCCCCCAGTGTACCAATGCCCACTGGTCTCCTATTAAATCCCAATCAGGGTTGTGAGAGGGCTGATTCAGCTCCCTCTCCCCACCCCCCGGGAAGAGTTAGGGATGAGCAAATCACTTATTGGAGTAATTCTGGGAGCTGAGGCAGAGCCATGGCTGGAAGCCACCCACTAACTAGAAACCCAGGACATCAATCAGCCAAACTGATTTTTCCGCCGCTGCGCCATTTAAACAGTTATCTTTGCTCGAGGCTTTGTCCAAAGTTACTTAATCAGTGGGTTCCTGGGCGATAAGTCACCGCAGCCTCACTGCACTGTCTCTGTGTCCTGGGGCTGCCTCTTTACTCACTTCTCGAGAGGGGTTGAAGTTCATTTGTTGCACTCTAAAAAGAAGAGCGCTTACACTGCTTGCGCACATATTCTGGTTATAGCGGGAAGATAAAAAAGGATATTGAGGTCTGCTGGGATATCAATATACTTCGCATTTGACGCCCTGCGGAGGCAAGGAAGGAAGGTTTAAATTCATTTATAGCGCCCCCTGCTGGTCGCTTTGTCCCGCTGCAACAGACGCACGATCCAAGCTTTCGGGGGAGCCCCTTACAAGCTAACAGTGGGGTGCGAGGGGAGCCCTTAGCCACACAATCTCTTTTTCACATTTACATAGGGAGAAGTTGAGGCCAGAAAGAAAAAACATGATTTACTCAAGGTTGAATAGTGAGTCAGTGCTATTGTTACAATCGGCCTCTCCCGGGCTAGCACTTTTTCTAGGCTCCGAGAGTGCCCTGCGCGTAGTAAGTGGCTCTGATTGGTAGCACAGCATGAAATTGGGAGGTCCTGGATTCAAACCTAAGCTCTGCCACCTAACAGCTGTCATGAGAAGGGACTTCTCAGAACCTCAGTTTTCTCATCTGTGAAACAGGGGTAAAACAAAAATGGATAAAATAGGATTTTGTGAGAATTCCTGCATCCACACATTTATTAAAAACCTATAGAATGTTTGCTATGGGCCCGGCACCGTGCTGCGGACTTGTGGTATAATGGTGAATAGAACATTGCAGTACCTGTTTTTTGCTTTTTGTTTGTTTTTAGGGTGGCAGTCTAATGAGAGTATTAGATAACATATGCAAATACACAGCATAAATTCAACAACTGGTGAGAAGGGAAGCATCTTCCCTTTGATTTTCCACTTTCCAAATATCAGGCTTGGGGCCTTGCCCCAGCTGTATTAGTTTAGGAATATTGATGACTCGAAGAGATTAAGTTATTTGAAGGTCAAGACCACATAAATCTCTGTATTCTTCAGTATGTCTGGCCCCAGGATGCGCTCAGTAAATATTTGTTTGGTTGCATGAATGCCCCACGTTCTGGCTTCCTCGCCTCCCCGGCTGCCAGCCAGTCGCTGTCCGTGGTGCTGAAAAGCAAATTCCTGTTGCTGGGCATGAGGCGGCGCAGGTGCTGAGGCAGAAAATGGAGCCCAGGGGAAGTGAATAGAGAGAGGAAGAATGAGCCAGCTTTTCCACTGACTATTAGTGACATCTTCATTTTGCCATCTCTTGGAATCCAAAGCTGATATTTCTTTTTCCAGATGTCCCCACTTTGCATTTCTTGCTAGCTGGAAGCACTGGGCAGACAGGTGTTAATAACCATGCAGGATGATACTCTTGATAATGGGGGAGGTACTGGGAGTCCTTAGCCCCATAAAGCCCTGTGTTAAAGTGTTCTGAAAAAGTGGTGGCCCCTTTCTTCAGACTCTTCCTGAGGAAGGAAAAGGCAGCAGTCATCAATGCCTTCAGCAGCTGATTTCATCCATGTCTGTCACCCAAGAATGTAGGCAGCTCTGAGTCAGAACTGGCTGTGGAAGTTCTGACTCAGATGTATATGGTAGAGCCATATATATGGTATATAGTAGCTAAAGAGAGATTGGTCTGGGATTAACAGGTGGAAGCTGGGTGAGTGTTTCATTTTGACCCATATTTAATGTGATAATGTTTTTACTTATTCATTCACTCTATAATTATTTATCGAGTGCCTTCCATGGCCCGGAACTATTACAGGAGCTACAGATATACAGTCAAGTACAAGAAAGACAAGGTTTCTGGCTTCCTGAAACCTACATTCCAGTGGATGAGACAAAGAATAAACAAGTACTCAAAGGTGTAGCACAATTCCAAGCAAGAGGATAGATGATGATAGAGAATGCTCTTTTAGATAAGGTGATCATGGGAGACCTCTTTGAGGAGGGGTCATCTGAGCATAGATGTGAATGAATTGAGAGAATAAGACATGCAAATATTAGGGGAGGGCAGCATTCCAGGTAGAAGCAACAACAAGAGCAAACACCCTGAGATGGGAACAAGATGGTATATCCAAGGACCAGCAAGGGGGCCTGTGGAGTGGAGCAGATTAGACATTAGGGGACATGAAGATGTAGGCCTTGAGGAGGACAAAGCAGGATGCCTGGAATGCGAGAAATACAAAATGACAGTTACTGCTGCACCTGCTATCATTTATTGATCATTGCATATGTAGCAGGCACTGTTCTAAGCACTTACATATATCAATTTCATACTTGCAACAACCTTATGAGGAAAGTGAAGTTATTACTCCATTTCACTGATAGGAAAATTGAAGCCCAGAGAGATTAAGCAACTCGCCAAAGATCACAGAGCTAGTCCAGGATTGAGCCAAGTGGTCTGGCTCTGGAGCCCTTCATTGTTCCTAATTACTGAGTTCTACTGATAAAAACATCATTACTCAGAGACGTAAGTGACTTGCCTACTTATACACAGCCCAGAAATGATGGATCAGACTTGAATCCTATGATTAAGCCCTAGGGTATTTCCACTGCACCACACTGCCTCTTTCTATGGTAAAGCAGAATAAAGGAGAGAGGCTGTTCTGTGACACCCCCACAGAGGCACAGAGCAGTTTTAAGGCTGCCAGCGAGCCCCGTGGGGATTTTATTTAAATGATGATCTGCACTGTGCAGTTGTCTGATATTCCCTCCCACTTACCTTTCTCAAATGTGAAAACCATGTCACTCCATGCACCCTCCCGCAAGCACGTAAATGCTTTACCAAGGAAGCTGAACCTTTCTGTAAAGATTTGGGGTGTTGAGAAAGCTCCCTCCTTAAATGCCATTATTTCAGGGACTTGTAAAGATGACTCAGAGCGAGAGAGGGGAGCTATAATAGAAAATTAGTGATCTTATCCAAGATGGGACCCAGGCTGAAGGCCCAGCTTTAGACTGATAAAGGCCCTTCAGCGAGGGCTCCAAGGAGTCCTGAGTTGACACTGACCAGTTTAAGGAGAACTCAGGAGCAAGGCTCCCAGCTACTTCCATTCCCCACAACTTTTAATATTCCTGAATGTGTCACAAAACTGCGAGGGTGTGGAGTGTGCATGTTCAAGGGTATGTTTACATGTGTGCTGCTGTTGTTTCTGTGTGCATGTATGTGTCTGTGTGTATCAGAGTCAGGTTGTGCTTCTATAAATTTGTGTGTGAATCTGAGTACTAGTGAGGGTCTGTGTATTTGACCATGCTTGTGTGCATCTGTTCATAACCAGATTTGTATATGAGTGTTGTGAATCTATGTATGGGTACTTGTGGGTCTCTGGGTGAGAACCTCTATGCAGGGAAGAATCCTAGATGTTTAGTTAGAAATTGTCAAATGCAGGTAGGCTATGGATAATGGAAGCAGTTACAGTGCAGGTCTTTTGATGGTGCTAATGAGGTAGGAGAAGAAAAAACAGTGAAGTTAAACCACATATAAAACCTTTAAGAAGTTTTCCTAAGGATCAGCTGCTATTAATGGCAATAGCCATTTCTAATTAACAATAGTATTGTGGAACCAGTCATAGCAGCTCCCATTTTGAGACTACCTACTGGAGGCTTCATTATATTTAGTATCTGCCATTCTCATGACAGCTCTGTGTTTCTCACTATGTGCATTTCATTGAGGAGGCAACTGGAGCTCAGAGAGGTTGAGTAACTTGCCCAGGGTCACACAGTTAGCAGGAGTAGAGCCTGGAGGAGAACTCAGGCATCATTGATGCTAGAGGCTGAGTTTTCTTCCCTCTCCAGACTGCAATTCTTCGCCTACACTAGCCAGCACCCCCAGCTCCAGCCAGGCCCCAGCCCTGGGACGTGAAGAAGAGGATGGCAAAGCAGACACAACACAAGGGGAGAACGAGGGTCTAGGCCCCACTGGTCCATGGAGTTGTGTGGCCATAAGACAGTAGTCTTCCCTCTGCACCTCCACTTCCTTATCACTAAATTGGGAATCCGGATTCACTGTTCTCCGCTCTGACTGGGCCACAGGGAAGGGGTCTTTGTGGATGGTTCCTATATCACCTTGGGAGTGTTGACCTGGAAAGAGACCTCTGTGTGGAGACAGAAGAGGAAATTCAAGATATGTGTCCACCTGGCCTAGGGCACTCACTCCTTTCCTTCCCAGTTGTGGGGGATACACCAGCTTGGGCCTCAGCCCCCATTCTCATCCACTCCCTCTCTTCTCCTTAGTGCCTTCCCTGTATTGCAGAGATGGAAGTTAAAAACTATTTTCCGCAGCCTCCCTTGCAGCTAAAACTGATGTCAATTATGTTCTGCCAATTAGCTAGACTGTGTGAGATTTTGACTCGAATTAAAACAGAGGCTGTCTCTCTGCCGCTGTGGCTCTTTCTTCCAGCAGGAGCCATCATGGCGGCATGGGGGTTTTTGCAGGAGCATCTCAGAGTCTGGTGGCCACCCCCATGGGTGTTGAGAGGCAGTTATGATGACGTCATTGTGGCTCCCCAGTCCCAGCTTCCAGATTCCTGGACCTGAGTGGGACAGTAAGTTCTTGAACTCACTGTTTGCAGGGGTGGCCTCCTGTTTCCCTGACTTTCTGACGGCACGGCTGGTTGGTCAGGTAGTGCTCTGGGAGTCATTTCCAGAGGCCCTGCCTACTCCTCCAGAACCTTCCCTCCCCTAGCACCTTGTAAAGTTCCTTATCCCCTATGTTAAATCAAGTTTTGCTTTAAAAAGCCTTGATGGTTTCTTTCGGCTGCACAGAACCCTTTCTGATCACCATGGAGCACTCCTACTCAGCCTTCAAAACCTAGCCTTGGTCTCCAGCTCCAAAATGACTTTCCATATTGACCAGACTGGCTTGGATACTTCTCCTATGTATCCACACCTCTAGCTCAGCCCTGTCCAGGTGGTGCTGAAATTACTGGAGGTACTGTTTACTTGCTGTCATCCCTGCCAGCCTGTGATCCCCAGAGGGCAGGAACTGGGTCATCTCAGCCATGCAGCTGAGTGTTTAGCAGAGAACCTGGCCTATAGTACATACTCTAGGTGTTTTGTGGAATGAATACAGAAAAGGCCACAATTTGTCAGTTCAATAGGATTTAGGAGAATCTGTAAGATTTATGACTGAGAAAAAAGCCATTTAATCTCCCCCTCTGGCAAAAAGAAACTCACCTGGCATAAAGAGCTATTATTAGGAGTGA